CACACCTATTCTTGGGTTTGTTGGAGATTTGAAAGTAGTGCACTTGATGCATGCTACGTATGTAGAATAATGTTCCTGTCCCTAAACCTGGTAAAAATGAATTGTATTTACATGATCAGTATTTTATCGACAAATGATGAAAATAGTATACGATCCTCTATGAACATGCCTAGCGATGTCAGACTTGGCATCACTTGATGTTCCATTTGCTTGCATACCTTTGGGAATGCGGGGTGTGGTTCATTCGGTCGTGTCGAGTTTGGCGCACGTGAGGGTGTATGAGTGGTATTTGGGATGCTTTTGTTGGCTGGCTCCATGCTTGTGCATCGAACGGTTGACATGTATCCCTTTTCATATTTTCCTTTGGCCTTTATATATTTGGGGATATGCTTGGTTTCTGTGTTGTCTACCTATTAAATGATATTCATTTGATTTAGAAGGTTTATGTCACTCACAACTATTGTCTGGTTTCTTGGGGATTTCAAAGTGGTGCACTAGATACATGCTACGTATGTATAGTAATGTTTTTATCCCTAAACTCGATAAAAAATTGATTGATTTACAAGTTAAATATTTTAATCTAGAAATGATGAAAAATTTATATGATCCTTTTATTAATATGTGTAACCCTGATGTCTTTGTGTGTATGTGTTTGTGCTTGTGTGTGTTTTTATCTGTGTGTCTGTGTGTGTTTTCTGTGTTTCGTTTAGATGTGTGGTTGTCTTTGTATGTGTTTATGTGTATGTGTGCCTTAGTGTGTGTTTGTGTGTTTCTGTGTCTGTGTGTTTATATGTGCATGTTTGTCTTTGTGTATCTTTGTGCGTGTATTTTTTGTCTTTGTGTGGCTGTGTGTGTGTATTTGTGTGTTTACAAGTGAGTTTGTGTGCGTCTTTGGGTTTTTTTTGTGTATGTGTGTTTCTTTATGTGTCTATGGGTTTATGTGTGTGCATGTGCTTTTGTTTGTGCTTGTGTGTTTCTATTTACTTATTTATGTGTGTCTATTTTTGTGCATGTATCTATGTGTGTGTTTGTTTGTGAGTGTGTGCTTGTAGGTGTGTGAGCCTATATTTGTCTATTTTCCTCTGTGTGTGTCTTTGTGCTTGTGTGTTACTTTGTGTCTTTATGTGTTTGTGTGGCTGTGTATCTTTGTGTCTATCATTGTGTGTCTGTGTTCGCGTGTGTTTGTGTTTGTGTGTGTATTCGTGTATGTGTCTATCTACGTTTGTGTGCGTGTGTCCTTATGTTTTTCTTCTCGTGTTTATGCATGTGTTTTTGTGTGTGTATGTGTTTTTGTGTCTGTGTGTTTCTCTATTTTTATGTGTGTGTCTATATTTGTGTATTCATGTGTTTGTTTGTGGTTGTGTATGTGCACGTGTTTATGTGTGTGTATATGGCTTAATGTGTGTCTTAGTCTCTCTCTTTGTATGTATTTGTGCATGCGTATATATATATGTCTATCTTGGTGTGAGTGCACCTATGTGTGCTTGTATGCCTCTATGTTTGTTTGTCTATATGTGTGTCTGTGCGTGTGTTTGTGTTCCTTTGACTTTGAGTGAGTTTGTAAGTTTCGATGTGTGCTTTTGTGTGTGTGTGTCTTTTTGTGTGCGTGTGTGTGTTTGTGTATGTGTGATTGTGTTTGTGTATGTGTGTATGTATGAGTAATTTGTGTCTATATGTGCATGTGCCTATGTGTGCCTTTTTGTGTGTTTGTGTGCTTCTGTGTGTGTATTTGTGTGTGCCTGTGTCTATATATGCGTATTTGTTTTTTTGTGTTTGTGTGTTATTGTGTAAGAGTGTGTGTTTGTCCGTGTATTTGTGCTTGTGTGTGTTTCTCTATATTTGTGTGTGTCCTCTATGTGTGTGTGTGTCTTTCTATTTGTGTGTACATGATTGGGTGTATGTGTGTGCTTATATGTTTGTCTTTGTGTGTGTCTATTTGTGTGTTTGTGACTCTGGGTGTGTGTCTATGTGTGTGTATGTCTGTTGGTGTCTTTGTGTGTGTGTGTGTGTTTGGATGTATGTGCATTTATGTGCGTCTAGGTGTTTGTATTTTTTTTGTGTGTGTTTATGTGTGGTTGTGTTTGTTTGTGTGCTTGTGTAAGTTTCTCTATGTTTATATGTATGTGTGTGTTTATGTTTTTCTGTTTGTTTATGTGTGTTTGTGTGTTTCCGTGCTTGAGTGTATGTGTGTGCTTGTGTATGTTTATCTGGGTGTCTATTTGTGTGTGTTCGTGAGTCTGTGTATGTGTCTCTGTGTGGTGTGTTTGTTTGTGTCTTTGTGTGTGTGTGTGTGTGGATGTATGTCCATTTGTGTGTCTGGGTGTTTGTGTTTTTGTGTGTATTTATGTGTGGTTGTGTTTGTCTGTGTGTTTGTGTGTTTCTTTATGTTTATGTGTGTGTATGTTTGTGTGTCTACGTGTTTGTGTGTCTTTATTTGTGACTATTTGCATGTGTGTTCTTGTCTGTGTATATGTGTGTGAATGTATCTATGTGTTTATTTGTGTATGGCTTTTTGTTTGTGTTTATTTGTATGTGTGTATGTCTATGTCTTTGTATATGTTTTGTGTGTGTCTTTGAGTTTGTGTCTATGTATGTGTTTACGTGTTTGGATGTATGTGCATTTGTGTGTGTATGTCTGGGTGTTTGTGTTTATGTGTTTGTATTTTTGTTTCTGTGTGTATTTATGTATGTGTCTTCGTGTGTCTATGTCCATGTGTATGTGTGTCTTTGTGTGTGTGTATGTGTGTGAAAGTATTTGTGTGCTTGTTTTTCTATTGTTTTGTGTGGCTTTGAGTTTGTGTTTATTTGTATATGTGTGCATGTGTGTGTTTGTGTTTTTGTCTATGTTTGTGTGTGTTTGTGAGTTTGTGTATGTCTTTATGTGTGTTTATGTAGGTTTTCTTGTGTATGTGTTTGTGTTTCTACGTGTGTGTATTTGTTTGTGTTTGTGTGTCTATGCATGTGTATTTGTCTTTTTGTGTTTGTGTGTGTTGTTGTGTTTGAGTTTGGTTTTGTGAGTATGTTTATGTCTATGTTTATGTTTGTGTTTTTGTGTGTGGTTGGGTTTGGGTGTCTCTATGTATGTGTTTGTACTTGTGTGTGATTGGGTTTGGGTGTCTCTATTTATGTGTTTGTGCTTTTTTGTGTTTGTGTCTGTGAGTATCTTTTTGTGTATGTGTTTGCATTTAGGTGTTTGGATGTCTTTGTGTGTATGTGTGTATATGTGTGTTTGTCAGTGTGTTTGTGTATCTGTAACTCTATGTGTGTATGAGTTTTTGTGTGTCTGTTAGTGTGTGCCTGTGTTTATGTGTTTCTATGTGTGTGTTTGCATGTGTTTCATTAATTGTGTGCGTCTGTATGTATGTGTGCCTTAGTGTGTCTGTTTGTGTGTGTTTGTCTTTGTATGTCTATATTTGTGTGCGTGTTTATCTTTGTATGTCATTGCATGTGTTTCTGTTTCTAAGTGTGTGTGTGTGTCTAGCTGTCTTTCTGTGTCTCTAAGTGTGTGTGCATGTGTTTGTATGTCTATATGTGAGTATATGTGTGTGCATTCATAGGTTTTTGTGCATGTGAGTCTTGGGATTTGCGTGTTTGTGTTTGTGCTTATATGTGTATGTCCGTCTAATAGTATGTGTTTGTCTGTTTGTGTCTATTTATTTTTGTATGTTTTTGTGCAAATGTGTGAGTGTTTGTCTGTGTGTGCCATTAGGTGTGTGAGACTATGTTTGTCTATGTGCCTTTGTGTATGTCTCTTTGTGCCTATGTGTGTTTGTGTCTTTCTGTGTGTTTGTGCCTATCTCTATGTGTGTTTGTGTGTGTTTGTATGTGAGTGAGCGTGTGTCCAACTATGTTTGTTTGTGCCTTTTTGTGTGTGTGTGTGTTTGTGTGCCTCTATGTGTGTGTTTATTTGTATGCGTGTATGTCTGTGTCTTTGTATATATTTTGTGTGTGTCTGTGAGTTTGTGTCTATGTGTGTGTTTACGTGTTTGGATGTATGTGCATTTGTGTGTGTATGTCCGGGTGTTTGTGTTTGTGTGTTTGTATTTTTGTTTCTATGTGTGTTTCTCTATATTTCTGTGTGTGTATCTATGTTTGTCTGTTCGTGTGTCTTTGTCCATGTGTATGTGTGTCTTTGTGTGTGTGCATGTGTGTTAATGTATTTGTGTGCTTGTTTTTCTGTTGTTTTGTGTGGCTTTGCGTTTGTGTTTATTTGTATATGTGTGCATTATTGAGTTTGGAAACTCGAACCCAGCACTCCAAAAGCTTTCTCGTAGATCACAGATAGGGACCCCATTAATTTTTGCCTCCCTATTTTCCAACCTGGCTAGCCTCCTTTCTGTTTTCTCATACACAACCTGCCATTTATCAGCCTTTGAGGGTTTGTAGCCCAAACCAAATCGATCTTTATTATCTATCAATTCGGGTAATTGGCTTGGTCCTTGTGCATCCCTTCCCAGTCCGTAACCATGTTGATATCCATTTCCTAACATGGTTTTAGCTACCATCATGGAGGCACCAGATGGTTGTGGCTTTATTGTATTTTTTTCATAACTTACATTTGCAATTTCTAGCCCCTGAAATGAAGTCTCCAAAGCTTCTTCAACAACTTCAATATAAGGAGTGGATGAAGGTTTACTAACCAATAGGTCTTCTTCAGCCAATATAATGATTAACTTGTCATCCACAATAAATTTCAATTTTTGGTGAAGGGTGGAGGGTACAACCCTTGCACAATGAATCCAAGGTCTTCCCAAAAGGCAACTGTAAGTTGGCACAATGTCCATCACCTAAAATACTACCTTAAAAGTAACAGGACCAATTTGGATAGGTAAGCTTATCTCGCCGATCACTTCTCTACGAGACCCATCAAAAGCCCTCACTATCATAGTGTTTGGCTTAATGTATGATCCATCATAAGGAAGTTTTGCCAATGTTGCTTTGGGCATCACATTCAACGAAGAACCATTGTCAACCAAAACTCTCACCAATATATTTTCTTTTCATTTTACTGATATATGCAAAGCCCTATTGTGCCCTGCTCTTTCCTCTGGTATCTCATCATCAGTAAAGGTAAGGTAGTTATTGGCAGTGATATTTCCAACAATACCTTCGAATTTCTCCTCGGATATGTCATGAACGACATGCGCTTCATTTAATATCTTCAACAATATTCTTCTATGGGGTTCAGAATTCGTCATCAGTGACAAAAGTGATATTCTGGAAGAGATTCGGTTCAACTGATCAATCACTGTGTACTCACTTTGTCGTATGAGTTTTAGAAACTCATATGCCTCTTCATTGGAGACTTCCTTCTTCTCCTCTTCTTGCTCTTTGATTACCCTTTCATCCACCACTTCCTTTCCTTTCTCATGACTCTTCTCTACCTCTTTAGCTTGTTTGATTTTCAACTCCTCAAGAGTGTAAATTCGACCACTTCGAGTCATTCCACCAATCCCAGCAACATTTGTGATGTCAGTGGCGTCTAATCTCTCTTCAGAGGCATCAATGCAAACTTTTGCACCATATCTCCATGGCACTACTTTATTGTCCTTATAGGGAAAAGCTCTTGGTACTTGTATTGTGATAGGCTTTGGTCTGTCAACATTCAAAATATTCTTACCCCTGGTATAATGAACAACTAGGGGCTTTGGGAAACCTACATTTGAATCCATAGCCCACACATGACTTTCAGAATAGCCAACCTGTATAATTTGCTTATCCATTAAATCTTGTAGAATTTGTTTAAACTCGTCACATTCATCAATCTTGTGACTCTTACCAGGATGCAATCCACACCCCTCATCTTTACCATGACTTCCTACCAACATCCCAAACTTACACATCTCCTCAAAAATGAGGTTTAAGGGAGTTTTTACATCCTTCACTCTCCTTATCATGAGTTGTTCTTTATTCTCCTCAATAGAATTAACTATAGGCCCTCCATGCCCTGGTAGAGGATTGTTCCCGATATTGGGATTATCCTCTTTGAAACTTAACCATCCAGCCTTAATCAAACTTTGTACCTTAAATTTCAGAGCTCTACAATTCTCGAGGGAGTGACCAATAGCTCCTGCGTGATAGTCACATTTGGAATTAGTATCGTATCCCCTAGGATATGGTGGTTCTACAGGCTTTATCGGGCAAGGTACTACTAATGAATTTTGTAGTAGGAGAGGGAACAACTCAATATAGGACATAGGGATAGGGTCAAACTCAATCAGTTTTCAATCTTGGGTGTTTTGTGACCTTGTATGACTAGGATTTTGGTTCGATGGTTGGGTAGATTGAGGTGGTCGTTTGGTAGGTGTTGCGGGTGAAGCTTGTAGAGCTTGATGGACCGGTTGTTGAGGATATGGTGAGATGGCAGTAATATTTGGGTAGGCCATGTGAGGGGTATAGAAATGAGGAGACTTGTTGTTAGGTATCCCAGGAGAGTTGAATGTCACTACGTTTGTATCTCCTTCCTTTTTCTTTCCTGCACCACTTGAAAATTTCCTTGAACCAACTATTCCAACAGGGTCAACCACAATCTTCCCACTTCTCATGCCATTCTCAATCCTTTCCCCAATGATAACTATATCAGAAAAATTTGATGAAATATTCCCAATCATCTTATCATAGAACGGTGCTTGTAAAGTATCAATGATCAGGGCTACCGTTTCTCTATCGGACAAAGGAGGTTCCACTTGTGCTGCCACTTCTCTCCACCTCTGAGCATATGCCTTAAATGTCTCACCATCCTTTTTAGACATGCTATGTAGTTCAAATCTATCTGGAACCATGTCAATATAGTATTTGTATTGTTTAAGGAAAGCATAAGCTAAATCTTTCCAGGAGAGGATATAGGCCCGTTCAAGATGCATATACCAATTCAAAGCTACCCTAGTTAAAGAATCCTGAAAACAATGAATAAGCAACTTATCATTGCGAGCATACGCTGCCATCTTTCTGCAGTACATGGTCATGTGATCCTTTGGACAACTTGTTCCTTTATATTTATCAAATTCAGGCACTTTGAACTTTGGGGGAAACTCTATATCTGGAACCAAACAAAGATCGATAGCTTCACGATATCATAACTACCTCCTTCCACAACCTTTAACCTCTCTTCTAGCATTTGTAACTTCTCACTAGACTGAACATGCTCAATTCTTGAGGTTGTTTGATATCCCCCAGAAGTTTGGTGAGGATTTCCTTGGTTGATGAAATTAGAGTTTTGGGGTTGGTAGGGAACTTGATGTTTATAAGAGGTGACATTCATGGGTGAAACCTTAGGTTGGGTAGGTTGCATTTGTGTAGGCAGCTGATTCACCAATGGTTGGTGCTTATCCGGAGGATCCATGATTATTGGAGGTGTGTAGTTGAGCGGAAGGCCATATGGTGGCCATTGGACCTCTGGAGGATCAACTTGTTGGCCGGATTTGTTAAGATGTAGAGTTAATGGTTGTGCTGGGGCTGGGGTAAAGCCAGGTGGATACGCAGGAGAGGTTGACGATTCTCCTCTAGCTACTGGAGAGGTCCCTTCTACATTTTTCACTTGTATAGACTACAACATCTCTAGAATTTGGGCCATTTGTTCCTTCAATTGATTGATATCATTTCTCATTTCTCAATCCATATGCTTTGATGGATTTGCGTGGGATTAGTGAGGGATTTGCGAGGGACATATTTGTGAGGGGTTAGCGAGGGATTTGCGAAGGACATATTTGCGGGGGTTTAGCAAGGGATTTGCGAAGGACCTCAATTGAGATATTGCTACAGCGTTGCGAGGAATTAGCGACAATATCGTGAGGGATAATTGCGACAGAGTGGCGAACGATTAGCGAGGAAATAATTAAACAATATTTTGCGATGGAGTAGCGACAAAGTAGCGAAGGATATCTTGCGAAGGTTTTGCGACGTTTTAGCGAGGAAAGATTAAATACAATTAGCGAGGGAATTTAGGTTTTACGTTTGCGAGGCGGTAGCGAAGAATTAGCGGCACAAATTTGCGACAGACTAGTGAAGCTGGTTGCGAGGGAAAAACGAAGGAATATAGCGAGGGAATTGCGAGGGATATGCATCCGTCGCTAATTAGCGACTTGAATTTAGCGAGGGATCATTCCCTCGCTAGTCCATCGCCATTCTGTTTAGCGAGGGATTTGCGAGGAATCTTTCCCTCTCTAATTCGCAATTTTCTTGTAGTGCAAGATCAAAATGTGATTAACAATTACTCAAGGGAGAATTCTCTCCTCAATAAATGATGTCTAAAACAAGTTATATATCAAGTCAAATGTGCTATTATTATATTCCGCATCAAAATGAGTTACAATAGTTGTACTATCTCATTTCACATGAGACTCCTAGCTAAATTTTGACAATATTTCACGAGCTTAAAGATCTTCCACGAAAGCTTCATTTCAGGATTTGATTTGATCTCTTCATTTACTTCGTGCACATGCGTCTTCAAGCTCTCTGTTTGTTTTTTGACAACATTAGTCATATCTTCACACGTCTTCATCCACTCTTTTACCTTTTCACGATGGTGTTCTACAATTAAATGTAACCCTTTGACATCAGATTTTAGCTGGTCTTGCTCCAATGTTAAATCATCAATTCTTCTCAACCATTGTTCTTCATTTTGGCTAGCCATCTTGAGTGACTCAGAGTATTCTATAGCCACATTCCACCATTTCTCGACTTCTTGGTGTGCATCTGTTAGTTCCTCTTGCATGCGTTCTATTTTTTCTTCTTTCTCACGATCACTTAATTCTAAACGCTTTTTTTCTTCTTGGATTTTTGCCATCTCTTTTTTCATTGCTTCAATCTCTCTTTCCATATTTTTCAAAAGGATTTCTTTCTCTTTTTCTGCCATTCTTTTTACTTTTTTCACATGGGTTGAACTTTTATAAGCATCAACACATTCATTTTTTAAGTGTTCAATTTCCATGTCTTTCTTTTGACATTGCCTCTTAAGAATCTCTATTTCAGTTTGAGCACGTTCTTCTTTTTCTTCCATCAATCTCATTTGAGCTTTCATGATTTCTAACTGAGAGGTTAAAGAAGCCAATGCTTGGTTGGTTTCATGAGATTGACTCTCTTCATATTGGACTTCTTTGAGAATCGGGATGGAAATTCTTCTAACCTTCCTCCATTCTTTATATTCTGAAGAGGCTGTCACACGAGGTTTTCTGAGCTCTGCTTCCCCTTTCTTTTTGACCTTCCCCCAAGCAGCTCTAACTTCTGCCTGTTGCCTCATATTATCTGAAGCATATTGAAAGCTCAAACCTCCTAACTTTTTGCTCTGAGGCACAGATTTAGTCCATTTGAGTTGTCTAAGAGCAATTGTTAGGGTGTATGCTACACATCCTCTCGACCCTATTAATGGAACATTCAAGAAATCCCCACAACTAAAGATTGTATTTCTGGGATGGTACCAAGGGCATACCCATGTAAAATGCTCTTCTTCTAATGTCGAAAGATCTCCTTTACACTCTACTGCTTCTAATTTCTTCACTGGAATACGATGGAAACTTCTTAGAGGGTCTGGCATATATCCCATATGATTGGAAGCATATAAAAGAGTCATCATCCAAACATATAGTAAATGATTACAACATCGTAGCATTCCTCTTTTCTTTTGATGGCATACTTTCAGAGAGAGGAGACTATCTGCAAGAATGGCTGGAACAAGATTCCTTTTTTGCATTTCGTAAGCGAAAAACACATCCATAGCTGCTTGATCGATTAAGCCCATTGTGAATGGGAACAAAATTAACCCATAAATAAGTAGAGCTAGAGTCTTGTTGAAATGTTCCCAATCACCTTTCTCGGCTAGAGATATCATATGATCCTCCAGAAGATCTTTATTCCATCCTTGAGTCGCACCTTTGCTCACCAATTCTATTTGTTGTGATGACAAGCCAATTAAACCAGCAATTTTCCCTCTTGATATATAGTTCCCTTTATATAGATAAACATCAACTTCTTCTTTGAGAGGTAACCTTAGTATTATCTCATATTCTTCAATTGTGGGAACCAAATCCATATGAGGCAACTCAAAGCACCTAAAATCTGAATTCCAATATTGGGCTAATGCACTTAGCATATTAGTTTCTATTGAGACCAATAGCAAATCCAGAATCTTTCCATATTTCTTTTGAAAGTTCGAACGCATATTAGTTTCTATTGAGACCAATAGCAAATCCAGAATCTTTCCATATTTCTTTTGAAATTTCGAACGCTCTTTAGTCATTTTCTGGCAGATCTTACCTACCCTTTGGAGATCATTTTTTAGCACATTTATCCTTATACTCTTGCTTAACCCTGATGCATTGCTAGCATGATTTTGAATCCCCTCCATATTGAATACTATCAATTATTTTAAGGTTTAAAAGAAAAAAAAAAAAGATGAGATGGAGACTTAATTAAATGAAAAGAAGAAAAAAAAATGAGACAAAGACTTAATTAAAATGTGACTTACTATGCCCCTAATATGCATGTATGCATGACTTTTAATCATTTATCCTTTATTTATTAAAAAAATTATTTTAGGCAAGAAAAGAAACCTAAAAATGATATTGGATATAAACGTATGATGCATGAATGTATTAACATGTTTTTTTTTGTTAGTATGAATATGTATAAGAAGAGGGATAGAGAGTAGTACAATGTGACCTATTACGGTAAACCTAGGGTAGGAAATTTCTAAGGTTAACACCCTACTTTGGAAGGTCATTAAGTCCACCTATTAGTGCATGGTTTTGTGGGTGGATCTAAAAACTCCTCAAGATTCATTGGTCCCCAGGTTGCCCTTATCATATAAATAAAGACCTAGCGCATGAATCAATCACAAGTAGGGAACATACCCTCTCAATATGATTAACCCATGCTACTAGTAAGAACCTGAACGGTAACTCAACAACGGTCAAGTGAGCATTAAGCCCCTCAATAAAAGTCATCAAGCCACCTTCTCTTCTTAGACTCGCACAGGCTCGGGTATAGAACCCAAAGTGTGTGAGGTACAAGTGTTAGTGGGTGTGTGAGGTAACAAACAGACATGCAAATAAAATAAATAAAACTCTAATTTAAGCTTAAATCCAAACAAAACATGCGTAGTAACAACAAAATAAATAAATAAATAAAATAAAAAAATAAAAGGAAAAAATTAATATTTATAAAGTCATAATTTTGTGCAATTAATTTAATAAGGCCTGAC